AAGGTTGTGAAAATTAAAAACAGAAACCCCATTTAAAGTGAAGTAGGGAGGCCAGAATGGGAAGCTCTCCCACCCTAACTCAATCATGAAGCACAACAAGGGAAACTGTTTGTAATAGGCCTTTTAACTCCTTTTTCCCCTCTATCAAAGATTTCCCCTTCTTTGTTTTAGCGAACTTTCACATGCCTCACTGAGGTTGCATGTACCAGATTGAAATTTCTAGTTGCTCTCAAATAAACCCATTTTGCTGAAGAAGTATCTGGCTGAGTTTGTTTATAGTCAACAGAGTTCACTAACAATTTGGATATGGGCTGTAAGTACCAGCCAAGAATGATCCCTAGTTTGGGATCATGAAAAACTCTGGGAATAGTGATGCCATTTACTGAGCTGGAGATGACAAGAAAAAGGAGCAGATTCTATCCCAGGTTTCAGTTTGATATATTCTTATTAGCTATCATGCAAAGATGTCAAACAGTCAGCCAGATGTGTCCAGCACTGTTCCAGGCACTGGAACTACAATAGTAGAAGAGCCAAACTCATGGAACTTAGATTCTTCCACACAGTGACTGGGCAATGTAAGAAGTATCAGCAACGGGTTGAACGATCTTAAGTATTAGATGCAAATGCAGAAGAAAACACTAAGGTTTGAGGCCTAGATTACTCCTCTCTCTAGGAGTAATGCTGTTTTGAGTTAGGGATATGTATTTTGGGTGATATTGCTTCACTTTATTTATTTTGAGACGAACACACTTTAAATGCTATATTAGAGCTCTATTATAATATATCACACTGTTGACACATTTTAAAAAGTATATGGGAATTTCCCCTAAAAGGCTTTATGTTTTAGTCAATAATTAAAAAGAAGAAAAAAATCAATATTAATGTATTGATTTAGGTTGATAGGTCCATACATGGAGATGCTATAAGAAACATAACAATATTTTCTTTAAAAATTAATCTATAAAATGATACTCTATAAGTTTCCATTGTCTGCTTGAACTCCAATCTGTAGACTTCTGTCTGTCTAAACTGAAAAAAGATAGGATCTATACAAAATAAGTTTCCATAAAGCTATATGGTATTAGAAAATAAAAATGATAAAGTTGAGGACCCAATTGGATATACCCAAAAGTAAAACATGATTAACATATCTCCTTTAAATGCAGATGTTCTAAATTATTATTTAAGAAACAACCTCACCTATTTTCTTTACTCTTCAAATACTTTTATAATTCCTTACATCAGGTTCAAAAAAGAAGGAGGAGGAGAAGAGGAAGAGTAGGAGAAGAAATAAGTAAAAGGAAAATTTTTCTTCCAAATACTCTTCAAAACCAAATTGCACATAGGAAGTAAACGTATCTCCTACAGAATGCAGGAACTACTGAAGCAGATTTCACTAGACACTCATCCCACATACATGAGCTCCCTTCATTATTATATAAGCATCCAAATGTATTCAATGTGCTTACATATCCATATTTTCATTATCAAAATGCTATTTTATACAGGCTGCTCAGGGATGAGATGGCCCGAATTGTTCTTTGTATAACCATGACTTTTTCCTCCCTCTTTAAGATAGTCTTTTTTGATGTTCTAAGAAATCCTTTTGGTTTATGGTCCACATGTTGCCTAGACACAAAGGTTATTCAAACAAAGCCAATTCAAACCTCATATTACTGCAGAGTCCCAAGAACAAATTTCAGGTTACTTACATGCAATTTAAGTTCTGAAATGGACTACATATGGCTACAATAATGAGCCTATTATTAAAAGAAGCACTTTAGCAAAATGTATAAACCTGTATGAGATTATATATCTGCATTGTGCACACACATCATCTTTATCTCCCCAAATACCATGTGTGTCATTTCCATTTAGGAATAGTTAAGGCTGCATGTGGGCAAAGCCTTCAATCAGGGCAGAATCTTGAAGTGAACACCTCTTGCCACCACCTAGCTACCTGCATCATCCTTCAGGGAGATGGGGTTCATTAAAAGAAACAACACTGGAAAAAAAAAACTAGTTAAGGCTTAGATAAGAAAACTATTCTCATTTTAAAAGTATCCTTTTACAAGTATTAAAGTATCATAAAATTATTGAATTGACAGAATGTATGGGATATAGATATAATTAAAAGTCTTGTGATGGTTTATATTAGTTTCCTGTAAATGACTGGGAAACTATATCCTTATTTAAAAATAAAGAAAATCTGGAGAACAAAGGCTAAGTTCATTACATAATCTCCTATTAATAGTAAAGGAAAATCTGCATTTGATTAATCTCTATCAAATGAGAAAATCTGCATCGACATCCCAAATAGAAAAGTTTGCATGTAGTTATCAGCTAACTTAATATTTATTTTCTATGGATTCCTACAGACACATGATACTGAACAATCATAAATATTAGCATGTACCTTCTATGAGAAGGCAAAACGCTAACATTCTTCACATGCCATAAAAATGCACATATAAATAACCCACCAAGCAAATTTCAATGCAAATCTATGTATCATTTGTCACTGAATAAAATTAATTTTTGTGTCTAGCACATGGATAGTCAGTATATCTTTGAAATGGTACAAGCCTCTCTAAATTTGAAATTCATGGGGAGAATGAGCACACACTTATAAGAAGGATAATAAGCAAATAGAAATCCTGGAATCCTGGAAGAGTAAGAAAGCTTAAAGAGCCGAGCAGCCAACTCCCTCATTATACATGTGAACACTCAGTCCCAGTGTTGAAATAGCCTAGAGGGCAGTGTTGTCTACATCCCAAATTTTCAACAGACCCCATGGAGAGGCTGTCATCATTCTGGAGTAAACCAAAGGCAATCCAATGTCAACAGTATGATTTACATAGGAACTCACTAAGTGTCCACAGTTTTATTTGCTTTTGACATATTAGATACTAAATACAAAAATTAGTTTAACACAGAAAAAAATGAATGTTACCTTTTTAATTTCTCTACCCTAGGCATTTTTTGCTACGTTACTGTGAATTTGGCTGCATAATTGTGGGCCAGACGCAAATCCCCCCGCCCTTACCCTATAAAATTATATCAGAACGAAAGTCCTACATGTGTCCCTAGGGAAGGCGGGAGGTGGGGGTGGGGGAGAAGGAAAGAAGGGAGAGAGGAAAAGAAGTGAGGGAGGCAGGACAGGAGGGAGGGAGGACAGGAGAGAAATGATGTCTTGCTACTGCTGTTCCAGCGAGCTGGTTAATTGCATTTGTTTCATATACCTCCAAACACTGTGGTACATTAATTACATTCTGTAACACCAAGCTCTTCTGATTCCCTCTGTCACTTCCACTGAGCAATTTAATTGTATTCCTCCTAGCTACACACTGATTCAAAACAAAAAATAAGAAACAACAACAACAAAACTTGGCAATAATCCTGTAGTCTAATATATAGCTTTTACATGTATTTCTGGTATTGAAAAATGTAAATTCATGTCTTATGAGAACATATTATCCAAAAACTTATATCCAAATCTTCTCATCCTAATACTCAAACACATTTGGGAAAAAATATGTAAAACTTTTTGTAATGGAGATGTAAATGTATTGTAGAGGGAAATGTATTAAAGAAAATGCATGGTGAATTATTAGATATGACTATAGATATTGCCACACTATAATTCACAGTTATTAATTCCTAAACATCTACTACTTAGAAGGGGGAAGAGAGAAGCAGTGTGCCCGCTGAATGCCTTGCCTACTATCGCTGGGAGGCAAAGGTACTTATGTAGTCCAGGATTGAAAACCGCCACTTGACAGTAGGTAAATTCATCTGTATTGCCTCATGTTTATAGAAAGGCTTCCTTTCTGAGTCCAATATATTGGGTTCTGTGCATCCACAGCTGCCAAGAACAAAGTTAGCTCCTATAGGCAGGCAAAAATAGGCAGTGTCCCAAATAATGAATTTGTCCACAATGCATATGCTGGAGGAAAGTTTATGTAGCAACAAACAACTATGATGGCTCAAATGTTTGGACCAATACACCTCCAGTTCTTTACAAGTACAGTATTTAAAAAACTAAAGTACTATAACCCCCATTTTCGGGAGGGGGAGGTGGCAAGCTCCAGTCTTCTCCTTAGACCAATTCTATCCATTGATGTAAAAATTAAAGTCCCTAGAAGGTTAATACCAAATATCCTCTGGATTTCCTTCTTTGAACAAACAATAAAAGATATTAATGATTACTTCCACTTGTCATTCAAAACAGCTTCTAAAAAGGATTTTGCAATTCTCTCACAAGAAACTGACATCCAAAGAAAATGTACCAGGAAACCAAATCTGAACAAAAGACAGGAGAATCAGAGGCAGAATGCTGGCTGCTTGACACACTGACTCAACCTAGAGGGAGACACAGCCAGCACCTGTTTCCGATCCCCATTGTGTCTGCCACGGGGGACAGAGCTGCCCCCAGCAGGCCCGGAGCTTATGTTTCCCCTTGTTGGAGTCTGGCCCAGTCCCCTTTTGACAGTTTCCTCCCTATGATCTAAATTCTTCATTCTGACTTCACACTAGGAGGGCACTGGCCAGCATGAAGGTGATACACACTTTTCCCTGAGAGACCTCGTCCCACATTCCTAACTCAATGAACCTTCAGTGCAACATCCATTACTAATTTTCTTCACTTGAATGTCTAAGTCAAAGTTCAGATACAAGAACAAACACCAAACAGAGCAGTACCACAGTATTAGACTCTTTCGAGAGATTTCCTTTAATAATTCTCTTCTAACAAAACTAAGATCCCATCATTTATTGTCCAACTCCTCAATTAATTAAAAAAAACAACAGTAGGCACTACTAATGTGTTCCACTTGCAGCTGTTTAGAAACAAAAGACTTAAAATCACTGTCCCCCTAAAGACCCACACCTGGCCAAAAGGGACTTATACATACAAAGTCATTTTATTTAGAGCCCACATCCCCCTCAGAAAGAAAAGTGTATTTTTTTGGTGGGGGAGGATAAAAGCATTTTTAACTTACCATCAACGGGAACATATAAAAATCCACAGAGCAGTAGTTGTGTAAACATCAGCCGACTCATTTTGACATATTAAAAAGGATCCAGATTGTTTTAAGAAACCAATCCCAGAGAGCAAAAGTACAAAAATAAGTATCAAAAGAAGAGGTAGGTCCAAAGTTCAGACTTTCCTAGATGCTAATTAAAGTCAAGGAGAGCAAATCGCAAGATGAGAGGGCTTAGTGGAGCGGTCCTGGATGGAGTACATTTAGATTCATCCAAATGAACAGAGGGTGCACCGAAGGCTGCTGTATTTCCACTCGGGCTTCCTAAATTCCCACAAATGCAGCCCAGTCGGAGGGATTATTCAAGTGTGTCTCACCCTCACTCCTCGGGCTCCATTGCAATCCAAAACCAAGTTCTTTCTTCAGAAGTCAGGACGAGGAAGGGAGAGGAAGAAGATCTAATTCCTAGAAAGTGTTCCACAAACTTGCCAGCGCGCTGCCGGAAAACCATTGGCCTGCCTACTGGTTTCCTTCCCCGGTCTCCTTCTGGCCAGCAGCTCCGCGTCCGGAGTTTTTCCCCTGAACTTCCACAGCCAGGAGGTGTCAACGCAACACTTTGCAGGCGGGCCGCCTGGGCGAGCCTCTCCTTTGCAGCCGCGTCGCCTCCCTCCACCTCTCTCGTTTCCAGAGAAGCAAAGGAAATCTAGACGCCTCGGTGGAGAAGGTGAACTCCTACGTGGTAGGGCGGCAGGGAGGGAGGGAGGAAGGGAGGGGCAGGGCTGAGGCCGCGGCCACCCCGCGGGGCCGCCTCT